CAGGGCGGCGATGGCTCATTCCGAATCCAATTCCTCTCCAGCATGAGCCGATTTTTCTCTCCCGCTTTTAATTCAGTCACTCAAGCTGACAGCTACACTGTGTACCGCAGCCCTGCTACAGGATTGCTCTGCCATATTTCCCCTGTAAATCTCCCGGCGTGTCAGCTCTCCCTTTCACTCTCCAGTCGGCCTGATAAATATTCATTTTATTGGGGTATTTTTCATATCTCTCTCTCTCTCTGCAGCTCGTTCCCCTCATTGGCTTCATCAGCGTGGGCCTGGGCAGTGCCGTCCTGTACCTGCTGAGGCTGGCGCTGTGCAGCCCAGATGTCAGGTACGGGACGGGACGGTTCAGGACGCAGCAGGGGTGCAGCTCCGGGGCCGCTGGGCCCCAGGCCCCCTCCCGACGCCGGGTGGCCGTGGCTGGGGCCGGCGAGAGGAGCACCGGGGCGGGGGGGGCGAAGGACGAGGCCAAGGTGCTGCCTGCCCTGCCCTCGCATGGCGGGGGGCGGACCCCCCCAACCCTGCTGCAGTGAAACGGGGGGCAGAGAGGGCACGGGCTGGACACGCCAGGTCCGGGGAAGGATGAGGGAGCAGGAGGGAGGGATGAACGCCCAGACGGAGAAGAGCAGCTGTGACTGATGGTGAGCGTGGCAGACAGCGCGGGGACGGATGGGTTGAGAGAGGGCCAGGCGGAGGAACGGGAGAGGAGTGGGATGGATGGTTGGTGGAGGGATGGGGGAGAGAGGGATGGAGAGACAGATAAAAACAGTGTGAGAAGGAACAGCGCGCGCGAGAGCGCGCGCGAGAGGGGCGAGGTGAGGGAGGGACGGGGCGGCGGGCTGGCAGAGGGACGGATGGATGTGCCGTGGTAAGACAGGAGCAGCGCACAGCTGTTTTCCCCGTAACTCAGCAGCCCACGGTCCCTGCAGCCCCATGCTGCCTAATGCCTATCTAATATTTGTTTGCTCCCGGTAAAACGCTCATTGATTTAATTTGACGCCAGCTGCCCAGGATACTTAGCTCAGCAATTAGTAGATCCAGGCACCTTGTCTTTGATCATACAAGCCCAGGGGTGGAGAGGGGGGAGATAAAACAACAGCAGCCCCCTCCCCCCCCATAGCACGTTAACACTGTTAGCCAGCTCCGGGGTCTGCGTTTGCAGCAACCCCCCCCCCCCGGCGCCTTCCCACATGGAAAATTCTGCCCTTGGCCAACACCAGCGAGCTGC